CAGAGCCTCTCAGACCTCTGGGCACCAATCGTCAACCATTCCTGCACAACTCAAGTCAGGAGTGAGTTACCCTCTGTCCAATTCTTCTCGCCACACGCTCACTACCACCACCCTTACTGACAACAACCCTGAAGATGATGAATCGCCATGAGACTCAACTCCAGTATCTCGCCAGATGATGATGGTTGCTCCAACTCATCAATCGCTCCAGAGTCTGGATCCAATCGCTCCGATACCAACTATTATGATTCTAGTTGTTTGTTGTCTGAAGACCATTACTCACTCACATAGACTTCTAGGTATGCCCATACATACACAGAAGGAAGGGGAGAGGATAGGAATATCACACCGCACAGGGAAAGATAAACACAGCGGAAGACTTGACCATGCGATATGATAGGGTACACTGAAAGTGCAATTCACTCCACTCAATCCTCACAACCAGTCATAAAGGAAAGCCGAGTAGATCACATCCAGGAAACAATGAAACGATGATAGTCCAAACCCAGTTACACACTGTTTGTTAAACTCAGAGTCTCGAATTGTCAGGATAACCTCAATACTACAATGTGCTGCTCAGAAATGAGCAGCGCTTCACTCCCCAACCCTGAGTAACCACTCGTAACACCCCTGAGCCCCTGAAACTTCAAGCGCCACCCTGATACAGCCTCCAGAGGGAAGCGCCACCCTGACACAGGCCTCTGAGGCCAAGCGCCACTCAGAGGATGAAGAAGAAGACCAGCACCACAATATCTGATGATGACGAAGTGTCGGAAGACTTCCCGGATGGAAGTCTGCAGCAGCGCCACCAAACCCTGACAGTATGACCTCTGAGGAAGAAGCTGCAGCTATGGCTGCAGTGCCACCACCTTGGAACCCCACTCTGGAGGAGGGTCCAGCAGGGCACCAACCTCTCTCGCCTCCAGCAGACCTCGATAACCCAGACCTCTAACAGCCCCTACGTGCTGGCAGAGTACAGCGCAGGTCCCAGCTATGGCCGGCACTCCTAAGGTCTGGCTATGCCTGTCTCCTTCCACGCTGAGCCGTCACCACTTCCGGTTCACGCGTAGCGCAGCAGCGATGTACTCGGTACCAACTGCCAAAAGCCCTGAACCGATGTGCCCATCCTATCTATAGACTACAACTAGCCTAGACTCGACCTAGACCGGACTGACTGACGGACCGGTACCGATTCAGTTTCGGCCTCTCGGCCTCTACCTTACCCGGCTATAGGCTATAGGACTGTCTATCAGCATAGGCCCTTAGGGCCTGTCTGTCCTAGGGGTAACCTGGGCCTGCTATTCGCATGGTCAAGTCTTCCACTGTGTTTATCTTTCCCTGTGCGGTTTCCTCTCCCCTTCCTTCTGTGTATGTATGGGCATACCTAGAAGTCTTTGTGAGTGAGTGTTGGTCTTCAGACAACAAACAACCAGAATCATAACACTAGACTCAGGCTACTTGTGGGTTGTGCACTGGAGATCCAGGACCAGCAGCCTTTTGTGGGTTCTTTCCAGAAGATTCAAAATGAGGATTCTTTGAAACTGGGCCTGGACCTGTCAATTCGGGCGGGCCAAGACTTTGGGTCTTGGTCAAATAAGACCCCAAAGGCGGCGGCTATTACAGGGTGGCTCGCGAGGATCGCCAGTAATTCGCCGATTCGCGAAAAATCCCTGGACAGGTCGTTCTGCTGAAATTGGCCTTTCAGAGGAAGGGCTTTTCGTCTGTTTTCTTTGCGGAAGTCCTGGATAACTTTGCGGTGAAGAAAGGTCCTATATGGGACTTGACTGCTAGCCTGATCAGACTTTTTGCAGTCTGACCTGATGTGAGGTACATAGACTTGAGGGTAGGTTAGTTTGACGTAGAATGTATTGAGCTAGTTTTAGTTGCTTCCTCCTCCTACACAGCGGACCCGCTTGGGCTGTCGTCCTCAGTGCGCGTCGTACGTTCGCTGAAGACGACCGCCGCCATTTTGTTCGATGGATCGCATGGTGGTTCTTGGGGATGAACGATAGAAGGAGGGGCGGAGTAGGGATGGGACATCTATGATGTTAATATTTCCGTTTAGACATCCCACGACGCAGGTTTTTCTGTGATTGCTGTGTGTCACCTTGTTGACTGTGTACTCACCTTCGCGTGTATGTACATTCATTTTGCCCCTGCCCCTCAGGCTACTTGGACTGGTACCGGCCTACCTCTAGCCTACCGCTACTGGGCCTCTAAAAATGCCAACTTTTTGTCTTCTTCTGCTCAGCCTCGAGTACCCGACACTTCTACCTCTACTTGAGTGGTACCGGCCTACCTGCTACTTGACTGTTTTTCCCGCTGCTGTAAGTGCCGCACGCCTACCCCCGCTACTTGAGTGTTTTTCCCGCTGCAACCCTCAAAGTCACTGTTTTTCCCGCTGCTCTAAGTGTCGCGGGCCTACCCCCGCTACTTAGAGTGTTTTTCTCGCTGCAACCCTTGAAGTCACGGCCACGGGTAAGTACCGGCCCTGCGGGGCCTCCCAACCAACAAGTACCCTTGCGGGTCACACACACACTCAGGCCGACAAGCACTCAGACAGGCACGCAGACCAGCACGCACGCACGCACACAGACTTAGAAATCACAGCAGAATGCGGGAATCTCAGCAAGGCATCCATTCCAGCGGCAGAACTCAGAAATCAGCAGTGTTCTCAGTCTGTGTTTTGGCGGTCATTACACACCGATATATAGGAGCCATTTGAAAAGGAGTCCCACGCTCTGAGGGCGCTTGTATGACACTCGGAGCATGGGCCCTCATTTTGAATTTCTTTTTCAAAGGGGAAACAAATGACGTGAGGCATCGTGAGGAAATGATGCTGAGGATAGACTAGAACAAGCCTGTGAAGAAGTGAGGCAGAGACAGAGAGAGAGAGAGAGAGAGAGAGAGAGAGAGAGAGACAGAGAGAGA